TCTGTGGGCCAGAAGCTTGGGAAGCAGCTGCTCCCCGCCAGGGCCATGCTTTTGGGGAATGGAGCTGTAACCCCACCTTCCTGTCTCAGCACCGACAGAAACAGACTTTTCCCACTGACCTTCTAAGTTGTCTTTGGCATTTGTGGATTGAGGAGTCTGGAAACCTCCACAGCTGCCCATGCTTTAGTCCTCTGAGGCCTGCTCCAGGTTCACTGCGGCCTGCGCACCCACGGTGCGCTGCGCTGCACTCCCAGCCCGGCGCAATACACCTTTCTGATCAATCATCCAGGTTCTCTTGGGCTGGAAATTTGTTTCACTCTGTCTTTTTGTGGGTTCTGCTGATTCAGAATTTGTTTAGAGCCATTTTTTATGAGTATTTGGAGGGATTTGGAGGAGAGCTCAAGCAAGTCACTGCTTTCACTCCGCCATCTTGGCTCAACCCCTTGCCCCTAGAATTCTTGAATATCAGTGAACTCAGTGGTAAGTTTTTAAAGTTACTTTAGTTCACAATATAATAGTTACTGTAAAGGTTGTTCTGCTCTTGGAGATTTTCTTCTGTATCAGTTCCTAAAAGCTTTCCCACATTTCCCTGAAACCACCCTATACTTTGTTCACCCACTCCCAATTACTGAGTAGCTCTTTTGTTTCCAGTTAATTGTTGAAAAAAAGTGCTTCCATAGTTTGTCATTTCATCAAAATTTGTTTCCTACATAATTTCTCCCTTGAATATTCCCAGAAAGCCATCACATATAACAAAGAAGATAGTAAGGAAAAAAGCCCTGCACAAGTGATCAACACATCAGGGAAAACAACTCGGAAAATACATTCAGTGCTCCCAAGTCATACAGCAGAGACCCATGCAAAGGAGCAGGGAGAGGTGTCTTTTCATACCAGTCTTGAAGATGATGCTTCTTCGGGTTCTATTGAATTCATTGACATTTTCTTTGGGGCTGTTCTTCCCATTTACACTTTGGCATGAAAGAAGTTTGTTGTCTTGGTTCTAACTTTACTACACGTGAAATGCTAACATGTGGACATCTCCGCTGCTAATCTTCAGATGGACTATCAGTGCCTGAACTGTGCTAGAGCCTTCTCAGCTCCTATGGTCTGATGAGCCACAGTCAGACACACTGGACCTTAACCCCAACATGGTGATGTCATTTTCTCCTCTCGTGAGCACTGAACAGCCAACTTCACTAGACAGCAGTTCATGTCTGTCTCCCCAAGCATCGGTATTCATCCTATTTGCTGTTTTCTCATAACACAGTAACATTTCATGGCATTTGGTACCACCATTGGTGTGGCCATTCCTCATCAATCAGCACCTACTTCCTGTCCTTTGAAAGATGAAGCTTGTTCTATAAAGGGATTTCTTTTTGTTAGTGACTTCCTCAGGGCATATACCCAGCAGTAACATCTTTGGTTCAAAAGGGTATGAATGGGGTAGCTAAATGGCAAAGTGGATAGAGGTCTGGCCTAGCAGGCAGGAGTACCTGAGTTCAAATCTGGCCTCAGACACTTGACATTTACTAGCTGTGTGACCTGGGCAAGTCACTTTACCCCAACTGCTGCACTCCAAAAAAAAGAGAGAGAGAAAATAATGGGTATGAACCAGGGGTGGGGAACATGTAGGCCACACGTGGCCTTCCAAGTCCTTGGGTACAGTCTTTTGACTGAGTCCAAGTTTTACAGAACAAATCCTTTTATTAAGGGGATTTGTTCTGTGAAGTTTGGATTCAGTCAAAGGGCTGCACTTGAGGACCTAGAGGGCCACATATGGCTTTGAGGCTGCAGGTTCTCCACCATTTGTATGAACATTCAAGTCACTTTAGTTAGATAATTCCAAACTGCCTTGCAAAATAGTTGGACTAATTCACAGTCCCAACAGAACATTACTGTGTTTATCTTTCCACATCCTTTTGAACACAGACTATTCCCATGGTTTTTCCTCTTTTGCAGGATAAGAGGTAAAATTTCAGGATTATATTGATTTGCATTTATCTTATTACTAATTGATTTTATATGGTTGGGTTTGCAATTTTTCTTTGAAGAACCACTCCTTCACTATGTTTTAAGTGTTAATCACTGGGAGAATCATTTGATATTGTATGTTTTGTAATTTGTCTACAGACAGTGTTCCAAAAACTTTCATGGAGCTTTAAATTTGAAGTTTAAAACTGCAGTAAGTATTTTTGGACACCATATGTATTGAATATCAGGTCCTTAGAGACTTTTGATAAAAAGTTTTGATCTCTCCCCTTCTTACCTTAGTTGCATTAATTTTATTAATGAAAAGGCTTTGCAATCTCATCAGACTGAAAAGGCCTATTTTTTTTTGTCATCACCTGTATCCCACATTTGATTAATAATTCACACCACAGTCATCTCTTATTCTAGCTCTCTTCCAATTATTCCAATTATTTTTCAGGAACCATATTCATTTTGTTTATTGTTGTACATAGTATAAAATGGGGTTCTAAACTTTTTTTTTGCTAGTCACATAATGGGGTTATGTGACTGACCTAGGGTCATACAGCTAGTAAGTGTCAAGTGTCTGAGGCTGGATTTCAAGTCAGGTCCTCCTGACTCCAAGGTCGGTGGTCTATCCACTGTGTCACCTAGCTGTCCCTTAAACTTATTTTTTTCAAGACTACTGTTCAGTTTCCCCAGAAATTCTTGTTGATAGATCCCAATTACTAGTATCATCTTGGCATTTTGAAATGTAGCATTAAAGCTTAGTGAGAGACATAGCTAAGCTAAGTCATCCTCAATGAGTTTAAAGAATGACAATGGAAGGCCAAAAAAGGAAAGGAAAACAGAAAAGCCTTGCAAAAATTTTTATAAAACCTTTTCTCACCAATAAGGACAGTGGTGCAACAATATATTGATTTGAAATTGCTTTTCTGGAAATGCTGACAGAAAAAGCAGAAAAGGATGAGGGAGGGGATTGGAACAAGCATACACAGAGGAGACGCTGCTGAAGTTTATAAGCATGCTGGGTTAATGATTCATAAGGTAGGTGAAGAGAAAGAGAGCAAAGAGGGAAAACCTTAGATCTCGTTTCAACGTCTCGAAAGGTGAAAAAAAGAACAATGACAACTACTGATTTATATACCTACTTTCTCATTTATAAAAAATAAATTTTCTTAATAATACTAGACACAAAGAAATCAAAGCTATCTCGTTATATGAAACAATGCTCTAAATCACTTGATTAGAGAAATGCAAATTAAAACAACTTTTGAGGTTCCACCTCACACCTATGAGATTGGCTAATAGACAAAAAAAAGAAAATGTTGGATGTTGGAGAGGATGTGGGAAAACTGGGACACTAATACATTGTTGGTGGAGCTGTGAATTGTTCCAACCACTCTGAAGAACAATTTGGAACCATGCCCAAGGGCTTTAAAACTGCATACCCTTTGATCAAACAATACCACTGCTAGGTCTATATCCCAAAGACATCTATGAAAAGCGAAAAGGACCTCGCTGTACAAAAGTATTTGTAAGAGCTCTTTTTGTGGTGGCGGAAATTGAAGGGATGCCCATCAATTGGGAAATGGCTAATCAAGCTGTGGGATATGATTGTAATGGAATATTATTCTGCTGTAAGAAATGACAAGCAGTATTGTGCTATAAGAAATGATGAACAGGCTGATTTCAGAAAAACCTGGAAAGACTTGTATGGTCTGATGCTGAGTGAAGTGAGCAGAACCAAGGGAACATTGTACAAAATAACAGCCACACAGTGTGATGACTAATATTGATAAACTTAACCCTCCCCAGCAATACAAGGATCAAAGACACCTCAAACTTTTAATTTACCTCTTTGCAACTTGCTCTTCTTTCTACCCTCTGCAATCAAATAAAGATAAAATTTTGTGTAAAGTTTTAGTAAGCTATCATGGGGGAGTGGATACAGTTATACACTTGTTGCCCAACATAAGGTTCCTCTATCCTGAGTTTTTCCTACTCGTGGTTTGACACATCAAATTTCTCCTCTTAACCACACTTACCAGAAATGGACTGTATGAGATGCTACTTGGGCAGCACAAAGAGAGTTCCTTTTAGTTTTCTTAATTTTCAGTGGGTGTTTATTGTTCCTTCACTCTGAAACCATGATATCAAGTATATTATTCTCCAGCGTGTATCCTGTTTGTTCTCAAGAAATACTCTCTCAAGTTAATAACATTCATACAATTTTCTCCAGTTTGAATCTACTCATACAGAATAAGCAATCTGCTATTTAGAAAAGCTCTGCCTCATTTCTAATTTTTCTATGAAGGCTGACTTAAATGATGAACTTCTATAAATTCTCTGCAGGGAAAGGCTTTGCAACAATTATATTTGTATGCTTTCTGTCCAGTATGAAATTTCTGAAGTCAAGAGAGTATGATGCCCTATTGGAAGGTCTTTCAAAATGATGTTCATTAGTTTTATCTTTAATATAAAATCTGTAACATTTACTAAGTTCTTAGTTCCAATGGTTGACAACCCAAAATACATTACATTCATAAAGGTTTCCTCTCAAATGACTTATTTTATGGAAGTCATATCTCCTTCACAAAGCCCCTCCTATGATCATTTCTGTAAAGCTAGCATTGATACTACTTCAACCATGTATGTATCTTACCTCATTGGATTTTCAAAGGAACCCTGATATCATCCCTCACTTGCAGATGGAGAAACTAAAGCCAAGAGAGGTTAACTGACCTGCCAAGAGGCACATAGCTCCTACGGCGGAATCTGAACTCAGGTCTTCCTGATTCCAAACCTGGTATTCTTAGACACTTTACTACCAAAGCATCTCATCACAGTATTAAGGTTCCTCTCCAGTTTCTAATTTCAATAAGTATTTCTTCCAACTGAAGGTTTTCCTACAATTATGTTTCTTTCCAGCATGGATTGTGATTCTGAGCAAGTTCTAAGCTCCCTTGGATGGCTTTCCCAAATTCATTGTTTTTTCCCCCATTGTTAAGATTCAACAGAACACAATTTAATAATTCAATAATAATTTAATGACATAAGATTTAATAATATGTCTTCTCTGCCACAAGTTAATCATATTCCAAAAGTTTCTCTCCTATGTCAAATTTCTAATGTTCAAGTGTCATTTTCCAACTTAAGGCCTTCTGACATTCTGATGAAATGTTTTTCCTGTGGGTTTTCTGATGTTTCTGTAAGAATTGTCTTCCTGCTAAAAGCCTTTCCACATTGATTACAATGAATATGGTTTTTCTCCAATATGAATTTTCAGATGTTCACTAAGACTTGTCTTCTCTCTAAAAGCTTTCCCACATTCATTACATTCATAAGGTTTCCCTCCAGTATGAATTTTGTGATGTCGAGTAAGTCTTGTCTTCCTGGTGAAGGCTTTCCCACATTGATTACATTGATATGGTTTCTCTCCAGAATGACATTTCTGATGTTTACTTAGTCCTGTCTTCTCACCAAAGACTTTCCCACATTCATTACATTCATAAGGTTTCTGTCCAGTATGAATATTGTGATGTTCAATAAGTGTTCTTTTCTGACTGAAGGCTTTCCCACATTCCTTGCATTCATAAGGTTTCTCTCCAGTATGAATATACTGATGTTTAGTAAGTTTCTTCTTCTGACTGAAGGCTTTCCCACATTCATTACATTCATAGGATTTCTCTCTAGCATGAATATTCTGATGCTCAGTAAGTGTGTTCTTTTGCTTGAAAGCCTTCCCACATTCATTACATTCATAAGGTTTCTCTCCAGTATGAATATTTTGATGTTCAGTTAGTGTTCTCTTCTGACTGAAGGCTGTCCCACATTCATTGCATTTATAGGGTTTCTCTCCAGTATGAATTTTCTGATGTCTTGTAAGTCCTGTCTTCCGACTGAAGGTTTTACCACAATTGTTACATTCATAAGGTTTCTCACCAGTATGAATATTCTGGTGGCAGGTAAGTGTTACTTTCCGACTGAAGGCTTTCCCACATTCCTTACATTTGTAAGGTTTCTCTCCAGTATGAATTTTTTGATGTTGAGTAAGGCTTGACTTCCTGGTGAAGGCTTTCCCACATTCATTACACTGATAAGGTTTCTCTCCAGTGTGACTTTTCTGATGGTCAGTAAGAGCAGATTTCCTGCTAAAAGCCTTACCACACTTATTACATTCATATGGTTTCTCTCCGGTATGAATTTTCTCATGACAGGTAAGTCCTGCCTTGTGACTAAAGGCCTTCCCACATTCATTACATTGATATGGTTTCTCTCCAGAATGAATTTTCTGATGACTCCTAAGTCCTATCGTTTTATGGAAGACTTTCCCACATTCATTACATTTATAATTGTTCTTCCCAGTATGAATGTTCTGATGTCCATTCAGTCCCGCCTTCTGACTGAAGGCTTTCCCACATTCGTTGCATTCACATGGTTTCTTGATCTTATGAATATTCTGGTTGTCAGCAAATGTTCTCTGCAGCCTGAAGGCCTTTTCACATTCATTACTTTCATAAGCTTCTTCTCCAGTATGAATTCTATTATGCATAGTAATGTCAGCTTTCTGTGAGTAGGCCTTTTTATACTCATTACTTACATAAGCTTTTTCTCTAGCATGAATTCTCTGATGTTCTATAAGTTCTATCTTCTGATTAAAAGCTTTTCTACATTTGTTACATTCAAAATATTTTTCTACAACAGGAATTCTGTGATTCTGAGAAATGTTTATGCTACTTGACAAAGTCTGATCACATTCACTCCCTAAATGTGCTCTCTCTCCATTCTGTTGACTGTGATGTTCACTGAGGTCTGAGTCATAACTAAACAATTTCTCACCTTCATTATACCTAGAAAACATCTTCTTTAAGGAAATTCTCTTCTGTTTATTCAGGTATGAATGCAATGGGACTCCCCTTTGCTCTGTAACACATGGATGAAGAAGATTCCTTCCAAGAGACATGTTACGTTGTGGGAAAAGGATTGTTCCTTGGTAGAAGCCTCCATCATGTCTTTTATATGCATGTTCTCTAACTTGATTGAGAGTCTTTATTTCAAATATTTGCATATGTCCAAAAAGTTCCTCTTCACTGCTCTGCTGTTTTTCTAATAAAGCACAACATTCCCTGGCTTTGCCAAACTTGGAGACACAGAGACTACCCACATGAACTCTTCCTTGGAATGGTTCTTCCATGGAGAAGCCACATGTTGGAGGAGACTCCCTGTTTTTTTCAGGCGTACTGTTCCAATCTGAAAGACATTTTTAAAAATGTAAACATTCCTTGCTGCCTGTGTATAACACTTAGCCCAAGTTCCTCTCTTCCATCAAATAGATCATTCTCATCTACTTTTGCAGGCCAATTACACATTGCTCCCCTTCAGAGACACTGCAGCCTAGGTAAACTGGCCTCCAAAGACTATCCCCCACATCTCAATTGTAGTTCTTCCTCACCTCTGCCTCTTCAAAATTCTGATTTCATCTGAAATTCAGCTCAAGGGTGACTTCCTACCTGAGGCCTTTCCCAGTGCCTCAGTGATTAGCATCTCTACCTCAGGAAAGACCACACACTGGCTTTATATATATTTTTAATTACTGTTATGTGTATATGTTGTTTCATCTTAACGAATGTAAGCTCTTGGGAGACAGAGGTTGCTTCAAGCCAAGAGTTGCTCTTAGTGTCCCATCTGCTAGTCCCTGATACAGTGCTAGGCACAGTGACAGGTACGGAGGAGATGCTTAACTAATACTTGAGTCTGTAGGCTATTTTCTCATGGTCAATCTGTAAAAGTCAAATCCACTCCAAGATTCAAACCCAGGTCTTCTGAATTCACATCTTGGCCTCTTTCTGTTTTGCATACTAGTGGATAGACCCCTTCTACATATCAGTAAATGGCAGACCTAGGAGCAATGAGCAGAAGCTATAGGAAACCACTTTGAACATGTACACAAAGTATTTCCACAGTTGTCCCAAGTCAGAGGATCTGCCTTAAAAGCTGTAACGACCTCACTTATTAGGCAACTGTGTCCCAAAGAGGTTCAAACTATGGCTGAAGTCACTGATACAATTCCCAGCCAGTGTAGTGAAGTGCTTTTCTCGCCTCTTAATTTGAACCCAAACCTAAATATGCTCATCTCCCAGATGGAGTGAACAGGCTATAGGATACATCCCTTCTCCCCCCATCCCCAATCCTCCCAACCACAGATCCTGTTTCTATATACTAGAAAAAGAGGCTGGTAGAAACTGACAGAACTAAAAGCAAGTGTAAAACACTTTTAGCAGAAATCAAGGAAGAACTAAATTGATGTATGTTCCATGCCTAGGTGGAAATGATACAGTAAAAACGACAATACTGCCAGAAATCAATTAATATATGTATTAAACATATGGGACCTCCTGGCCTGGGAACACCTACCATTCCTGCACCTGATTTCAATCCCTGCCTCAGTCATATAAGATGCAGGTCACTTTGAATTGGTCACAGACTTTCTGAACCTCAGTTTCCTCATCTGTACAATGAGAGGCTTGGCACAGATGACCTCTAGGGCCCATTTCATCTCTAAATTGGATCCACTGCTATCCTTTCTTTGCAGAAGTTAAGGACTACAGTTGTGGAATCCTGCATAATACATCAGACTTAGCTGATGTGCTGATCAGCTTGGCTGAACTGTTTCTTTTTCTTTTTCTTTGTTAAAAGCGGAAGGCTGTCTCAGGGAAATAGGAAGACCTTCTTAGGAAATTCAGGTGATAAAAAAGAAAAGCTATGAATAAAAAGATAAAAGAAACAATAACTGTTGACACTCTCTAGTAAAAGCCAATCAAAAAAGAAATCAAGCCCGTGCCACTATCTTACGCTTACTGAATCACAGAAGATAAAATCTCTATGCTGACATAGCTGTGGTGAAATAAGAGGCTGTTATTCTGCTGAAGAAACTGTGAGTGAGCTAGATATTGTTTAAAGGAACATGGAAATATACACAGTGAACGATCTAGAGGTGCTCATTGCCACTCTCCCCAGGGTCTCACGACCAAGAACAGATTCTAAGGACAGCGATCAAAAGAAGAAACACCTTTGTCGCTAAGGCATTCATAGAAACTGGGCTGCTTACAGTGAGCCACTGAGCATTTGCTAACCATGCACTATGCACTAATAATCACTGTGCCAAGGAGAAGGAGGAGAAGCGCAAAAGGCAGACACTGCTCTTGAGGAGCGCACAGTCACCATGGGACAGTCAACAGGCAGGTAAATGTGTACAAGCCACATACAGGATAGACAGGAAATGATCAAAAGAGGAAAGGTGCTACAATTAAGAGGGGCTGGGAACGGATTCTTGTAGAACATGGGATGTTATCTGGGATGTGAAGGAAGCTGAGAAGCCAAGAGGCAGAGATGGGGAGAGAACATTCCAGGCATGAAAGAGCCACAGAAAGTGCCTGGATCTGAGCGATAGAGTGTCTTCTCCTTGGAACGACACGGAGGCCACTGGCATGACATCAAAGAGCAACTGGGGGTGTGTAAATATAAAAAGACTGAAAAGGCGGGGAAAGATGGCTGGGCTAAGAAGCACTCTGACTGCCACACAGATGACTTTGTATTTGCGATAGAGGTGACGGGGAGCCACTGGGGTTTATTGAGTACAGGAGTGACACACTCAGACCTGCACTAGCGACTGAATGGACTGGAGTGTGGAGAGGTTTGTGGCAGGCAGAGTCCCCCAGAAGCTATTGCAATAATCCAGGTGACGAGGGCCTACACCAGGGGGTGACAGTGTCAGAAGAGAAAAGGGGGGTGTATTTGAGAGATGTGGCAAAGGTGAAATTAATAGGTCATGACAAAAGACTGGATATGGGGGATGGGAGGAGACAAGGATAACATCTGGATTGTGAATTAGGAGGACTATGAAGATGATGGTATCAACAATAATAAAGAAAGTCGTAAGGGCAGAAGTTAAGAGGAAAAAGTTAATGAGGTCAGTTCATGCTATGCTCAGTTACAAGTGGCCTTTCACAGTGGCTACACCCAATCTCCCAATTCCATTCTGTTCCCTCCTGATCGCCCCTGGCCACTTCCCCCCCTTTATCCTATCTAGACTCCATCGTCCCTTGGCCACATGATTCAGGGCCCTGCTTTCTGTGTACCCCAAACGACTTGGCCACTCCCAGATCCCTCCCACAGTCTCTCTGTATATAAGGTCCATCTTGTCTCTGTTAAGGTGCTCAGATTCTTAAAATCTAGTCACTGCTCAGATTTTTACAATCTAGCCAACAGCTCACAAACATTCAGGCTCCTTAAGGGTCTAGCTAATATGGCGGATCTTTAACAAACCTTGTCTTTGGCTCAAAAAAATTTTTTTTTAATTAAAAAAGATATGCTGAGTTAAAATGTATACTGCATATCCATTCTGAAACGGCTGCTAGGTAGTTGGTGATATGAAAACAGAAGACCGGGTAAACAGATTTGAGAATCGTAGGCACAGAGATGACAATTAAATCCAAGGAAGCCGATGAGATCAACAAGAGGACTAGCATAGTGGAAGAAGAGAGGAAGGTGCAGGACAATGCCCAGTGGGCCAACCATGGTCAGTGGGCAACGTCTACGTGAAGACCCAGCAAAGGACACTGAGAATGAGCGGTCAGACGTGTAGGGGGACAACTAGGAGAGGGCAGAGCCTTAAAAACAAAAGGCAAGAAGAGTCTGAAGGAGAAGACCGATCAACAGCATCAAAGGGCACCGGAAGGACTGGGCAATTAGGAGATCACTGCAAACACTGGCGAAGACTTCTGGCTGAATGACAAAGAGGGAGGTCAGATGATAGAGAAATAAGAAGAGGATGAGGAGTGGAGGAACGCACTACAGCAGGCCTTCCAGGGAGTTTTACCACAAAGGGCAGACCAGATAAGGGAAGACAGTTAGCAGAGACAGAAGACTCAAGTGAGGGCGCTCTGAAGACGTCTGAGACAGGAGAATGTTGTTTCGTTGTAGGCAGCAGCAGACATCAGCAGACAGGGACAAAGCGGAGATCAGTGAGAAAGGAGGGATTGGAGGAGAGCCACCTGCCGCAAAGGTGGGAAGAAATGGGATCACGTCTGTAGAGCAATTTGGAACTCTGCCCAAAGGGCCATAAAAACGTGCATATCCTTTGACCCAGCAATAGAACTTCTAGGGCTGCATCCCAAAGAGATCATACAAATGGGAAAAGGACCCACATGTACAAAAATATTCATAGCAGCTCTTTTTGTGGTGGCAAAGATTGGAAATTGAGAGGATGCCCATCCATTGGGGAATGGCTGAACAAGCTGTGGTATGTGGTTGTGATGGAATACGACTGTGTTATAAGAAATGATGAGCACACAGACTTCAGAAAAACCTGGAAAGACTTGTATGGACTGATACCGAGAGAAGTGAGCCAAACCAGGAGAACATTGTGTACAGTAACAGCCATGCTGTGCGATGACTAACTTTGATAGACTTAGCCCTTCTCAGCAATGCAACGATTTAAGACATCTTCAAAAGTCTCGTGATGGAAAATGCTAGCCACATCCAAAGTAAGAACTGTGGAGTTTGAATGCAGATCAAAGCATACTATTTGCTAATTTTTTTCTCCTGTTTTGCTTTGTTTCCTCTTTCTTGTGGTTCCTCCTACTGGTTCTAATTCTTCCTTACAACA